ATAAAAATGTATGTATGTATGATCTGCATTTTCATACATGTATGGAAATAAAAATCATACGTTACATACATAAGGGTACACCGAAATTCTACCTAATGTCCTGGTGTTATTTTTTGTTCCAATATCCCTGGTTTGTATACTTGTATCTATAAAAGTTAAAAAAAAGATCATATGAATGTGAATATAAAAATATAACAAAATGCATCTCATATTTTTTTACCTTAAGTATTAGACAATAAAACATTCCATTTTTCTTCAGGTATTGAATGAGAAGAAACTAGGGTGTTAGCTTGCTTATCTCTGATGGTGAAAATCATAAATGTTCTCCAATTAGTGTTTGAATCCGAATCTCAAATGAGACTCATTAAGGGGGTTACACATTATCAAGATCATGGGTGAACACATGATTTTAAGCTACTTTGATAGTGTGTAACCCCTTAATGAGTCTCATTTGAGATTCGGATTCAAACACTATCTCCAATATGTGGTAGACATTGAGTTTGTATAAACCCAGCATAATCACCTTTGATTGGCCATTCAAAGTAAATCAATTTTTGTGATGCTTTTAATGGTTTTAATCTTATGATTTGACGTTTTGGGCTCTAGATGTGCAACAGAAGTTCCCTTTAAGCCAACTATTGCTTTTTCTATTTTATTTCCCTCATCCAATTGTTCCCAATATGTATGTATCTCTTGATGGCATCCCTATTACTATAGAAAATATGCATAATTTCTATTGCTATTACTATGAAATGATTATTATAAAGTATATGGAATTTTTCTGAAAAAATTATAAAGTATTAAATACAAGCATGATGGAAGTTTGATTTCATTGGCTAAATTTGTGATGATCCCCCTTCAAGATATCACATAAAAATTAATTTTTATTGGCTTGAAGATCATTGCACAATTTGAAATTTCATGGATTCGGGTTGACCTCGGGTGAATACTAAAATTATATTTTCAGGCGAAAACCAAAATTATTGTTAAAAATTCCACATTTAATAAAAAATTCTATAAAAGAGAAAGAAATTCTGTAAAATTTCAAAAATTTAAATTATAAAATAAATTTATATCAAATAAAAATTCTAAATAATAACAATGCCTAAAAATGCTCAAAATAAAGGTCCTTGTGCAATAATTGATTGTCAGAGTATTATTGATACTGATAGATTTAGAACAATTACTGATAGTGAATTGGAAAAGTTGCAAGAACATCCAGATTATACAAATTTTAATTGATTCTCATAAAAATGAATCATATGTAAATGCCTTTTCAAATACTAAAAGATATCCTTATACCATGTCAACCTTAAGCTATTTTTAAAAAAAAAACAAGTTGCTTCTTAATAGAATATTTTTCATCAATTTATGAAAATTTAAATTGCAGTCAACCAATCTTCAATAATAAATATAAATTAACAAAATATAAACTCTGCACACTAAATAAAACAGTAGATATAAAATTACTTCCCTCTGGATATCATACAGTACATGTTCCAAAAGCAGATGAATGCGACCATTGTAATGATAAATTTGATCCAAATTTTCCTGAGTATAATGTGGATGTACAGTGTGTTACAAAAAAAATTGGCCAAATTTAGATGTGATCTGAAACACGATAACTTTTTATTCATGTAAACAAA